AAGTGGTAGAGCGCTAGCCTTGAGCTGAAGAGCTGAGGGACAGCGCCCAGGCCCAGAGTTCAGGCCCCATGACCGGACCCAAAAAAAAAAAAAAAAAAAGAATACAGGGCTATAAACAGATCTCAACTGAATTCAACAGATTACACTGTTCTATTTCCATAGTTACAAATAATCTATTTCACATTTCAACCTCCTTCATAGTTTAATCCCCTCCACCTAGAGTCATAAAGAGGTATGATTGGAATGCAGTGCAAACATATGAAAATGTAACAGTAAAATCCCCCATGTAATTAATGTAAGCTAATGAAAAAAAAAATGTATCCCAAAAAAGTATTGTGCAAATACACTAAGACAGACATAACCATTACATGGTATAAGATCTTTCTGTGGAAGGGTGCTGGTAGCTAATACCTATAACCCTAACTACTCAGCAGGCTAAAATCTGAGGATTTCAATTCAAAGCCTGTCCAGATAGGGAAGTCCATAAGACTCTTATTTCCAATAAACCACTCAGAAAACCAGAAGTGGTGCAGTGCCCAGGCCCAGGGCTCAAGCCCCACGACCAACAACAACAACAACAAAAAAAAAAAATCAGAAAACCAGAAGTGGAGTACAAGGCAGGTGCCGGTGGATCACGCCTGTAATCCTAGCTACTAAGGAGGCTAAGATCTGAGGATCACGGTTCAAATCCAGCCTGGGGGCAGGAAAGTCCGTGAGACTCTTATCTCCAATTAACCACTCAGAAAACCAGAAGTGGCTCTATGGCTCTAGTGATAGAGCACTAGCCTTGAGCTGAAGAGCTCAGGGACAGGGTCCAGGCCCCATGACCAACGGGGGCGCGTGGGGGAGGGGGGGTTGTACAAAGCCAGCGTCAGTGGCTCATGCCTGTAATCCTAGCTAGTCAGGAAGCTGAGATCTGAGGATGGCAGTTCAAAGCCAGCAGTTCAAAGCTAGCCAGGGCAGGAAAGTCCATGACACTCTTATCTCCAATTAACCACTCAGAAAACTGGAAGTGGTTCTGTGGCTCAAGAGATAGAGCGCACAAGCCTTGAGCTGAGGAGCTCAGGGACAACACTCAGTCCCAGAGTTCAAACCCCATGAACAGACCCTACCCCAAAAAATAGGTACAACATGGGAAAATGCTCATGATATATTTTATATGAGATATAAAGTAGTACATACACAGTATGATCTTCATTTGGAGTCAGAAATAAAGAAAAGGTGTGGCAAAATGGCCAATTAGAAACCATGGATGCACCTGATTCCATGAATAAGTCAGGTAAGGAGAGACTATAGTCTGTACAGAAATAAAAAATAGCAGGAAAGTAGAAAAGCCTAGAGAAATGAGCAACAGAAAAAAGCAGCAAACAGTTTCAAAGCCCATCACAGCTTCTCAGAAGGAGAGAAAAATGGAAGACACAATCACAAAGTAATCCAGATGGCCCTAGCAACAGACTAGCAATTCTAGTCACAAGAAAATCCCCACACCTCCCACAAGCCTTGAACTGGTGTGAGGATTTGTTAAGAAAGTGACTGCTTTGTTATGGAAAGCTAGACTCAGTGAAGACATTCTGTCAAGTCCCCTACACTGGAGACCTACAGAAATGTCACCTTGAGAGACAGCCTACTACTTGAGATTGAGACATCCAGGAATAATCATGCGAGACCAGGTCATGGAGTGTGGGTGGACGATGGCCTCAAGAGGTGGAGAGGGTCTGCTGTGGTATTAGTCGGAAGTTCAAGCAGCCAGGAAGTCTGGCAATAAAGTTCCATTACCTAAGGCTGCAACTGAAACAAAGCATGAAGCCTCCAGGACCTGCTTCCCACCCCTACTCCTCCTTCCTCCCTGGACAAGTATGGACTGCTAGGTAAGTTTGAAAGTCTAAGTCCAAACTTGGCTTGTCAGGACTTCTCCAAACAACAGAGAATAATAGGAAATGTATACTAGTGTGTATTTGCTACCAGGCAGAACTGATAACCCTAAATCCTCTGAATGACCTATTTCCACAGCCTCCTCCAGTTACAGGGAAGTAAACTGCTGGACGTGCTTGTGAGCACTGAGATCACCAAGAAGATTGCCTGAGTTCTTTACCTAACCAGTACAGAACTCAGCGCTCCCCCTACCTGCTGATGTATTCAGGGACCACCCTGAAGCTTGGCCACCTGCTGCCCCTGGGGACACAAACTAAAAGGCCTGCTGGACAAATGTGAACTTGACAAGTCTAGTTTATAAAGGTCCCTGTGGCTGCTCCCAGAACACAAAGAAAAAGAAGAGAATCTTCTCTTAAAAGCATGCCACGGGCTGGGAAGGTGGCTCGGTGGTAGAGTACTTGCCTTGCATGCATGAGGCCCTGGGTTCAATTCCTCAGCACCACATTAGCAGGGGAAAAAAACCGAAGTGGGCTGTGGCTCAAGTGGTAGAGCGCTAGCCTTGAGCTGAAGAGCTGAGGGGCAGCACCCAGGCCCAGAGTTCAGGCCTACAACTGGACCCAAAAAAAATAAATAAATAAAATTAAGGAAACACAATCATGCAAGACCTCTGGGATTATCATTAAAAGACTAAATTTATGAATCATAGGCATAGAAGGACTAAGAAACATATCAACAAAATAGCAAAAAACTTACCAAATCTTAAGAGATGGCATTTGGCATAGAGCAGCTTTAAGACTCAGAATAGACAAGACCAGAAAACAATCTCCCTACATAGTTAAACCATCACACACAGAGAACAAAAAAAGAATAATAAAAAATCTGTAAGAGAAGATCCCAAGTCATCTGTAAAGGGCAATCCCAATAGGACAGCAAGATTCTCAAGGACAGGGAATGATGTATTTCAAGTCCTAAAAGAAGAAACTGCCAACTTACATTACTATAAACAGAAAAGTTATCCTTCATAATTAAAGAAATAAAAACTTTCCATGATAAACAAAAACTAAAGCAATTCACTATCAGTAAAGCAGTGCTGACGACTGAAGAAATGCTGGACACAGAAATGTGGGAAGTAAATCTCACTGGATGAATAGATAAGCAAGTAAGAAGTAATCGAGATTCAAACACTACACAAGACCAATATAATGGCAAGAATTATTACATACCTTTCAATAGTAATTTTAATTAATGGTCTTAATTCACCACAGAGACTGGTACATTAGATTTAAAAGGTCTGACCATTTGTTGCCTAAAATAAATTATCTCAGTGGTTCACACCTGTAATCCTAGCTTCTCAGGAGGCTGAGATCTGAGGATCGCAGTTCAAAGCCAGCCTGGGCAGCAAAGTCCATGAGATTCTAATCTCCAAGAAACCACCAGAAGGCTCAAGTAGTAGAGCACTAGCCTTGAGCAGAAGAGCTCAGAGACAGGGTTCAGGCCCAGAGTTCAAGCCCCAAGACAAACAAAAGAAAAAGAAATGTATCTCTCT